GTATATATATATATATATATATATATATATATATATATATATATATATATATATCTTCCTACTGTATTTTCCACTGCATGCATCCGATGAAGTGGATTTTAGCCCACACAAGCTTATGCTTAAATAAATGTGTTAGTCTCTAAGGTGCCACAAGTACTCCTGTTCTTTCTACAAGCAGGAGAGACTGTTAACCTCTTGGAACCTGCATGCTGTGTTTGTACTAATAAAATGTAGAAACAGCATTTTTAGAATAGTCTTCAGGTGCTGGGTAGGAGTTCAGGGATTGGGAAATTGGGAATAGGATAAGGAAATTTCCAGCTCTAGGTCACTGAAAATCCTGCCCATATGATGGCCAGCCAGTATCCTATGTGAATTCAGTTAGTTGGCTCAGTACAGGTCTTAGCAGACTGACTGAATGCAACAATGCAGTTCACACAGACCATCCCATTTCCATCAGATGGTATTGACTTTCGATAACATTAGCAGGGAGACCACAGAAGAGAAGTGGAGGAATCTTGCACTACAACTGTCCTTCATCTATGGATAAATAGAAGAGGCTACTCATCAATAATCCATCAATCTTCATTTTTAAAAATTAACAAACAAACAAAACAACAAAAGAAATCAGATACTTAAGGCAAATGAAACTTCAGCAATATTTTCGATAAAAAGTAAGTTATGGAGCTTTACAAGTCAGATTCTGCTCATTAGAGTCTGCATGGAAGACTTGCATGGGGGGCACACAAACTATAGAGGAACTCAACTTGTGAAGTCTGGAACCTGATTCAGAGTTGAATCCAATATTCATCACAGTTTTGGTAGGGAGTAAGCAGCATTCCAGAGGGAGGGCCTGTTTCAGATTCAGGGTTGCAGTTTAGGCAAATTAGAGAGTGAGAAGCCCTACCAACAAAAGTTTTGATCCAGATGAGAATCTGAAGTTTCTCAGAGGTGTGAGCTTTTTGGGGTGGGGTGGGGAAAGGGGATTATTCTTGGTATTACTGTAGGACCTAAAGGACCCACAGGAGAAAGGCCGCATTGTGCAAGGCTATTGCAGTCATGGGTGTTTTCTGATCAGAGACTTCAGAGTGTGTGACATTGTATGATGGGTTCGTGTTGCAAACAGAAGATAGACTATAATGTTATCTTACTTTTCTATAGTGCGTTTCATGCAAACGACGCCAAATCTCTTTACAAACTGTACAACCTACTTAGAATGTACAAAGCATTTTCACTTTTATTCCACTTACCACACACAACTTTTGTGAAGATTAGTTAATGTCTGCGCCGTCCTTCAAACACTAAGTGCTACAGAAACAGCAAGTATTATTATTCCGAGCTTTAAAACATAACATGACTTACGATGGAACATTTGACGCTTTCTTGCAATCTGACTTCACCATCAGTGACCCATGATTGGTGTGCTTTCTTTATATATCTGTAGGCTTTCAATTAAAGTTCAAGGTTTTCCTCTGTATAGTACAATCAAATTAGATGCTATTGTGCGCTATTCCTTATAATCCATCTTCCCATTGCCTTAGAACCTTAGTGCTGTCCCTTGGAACCAAGAAGTAGCTCCCTGTTCATGTAAGCTTCTATTTATCTAAACAAACAAATCCATTTTGTCACGTACAAAGCTTGGAACACACACTGTGTATGTCTACACTACAATGCAAGCCCAGGGTTCAAACCCCCTTCTGTCTATACACAAATCTCAACAACCTGGGGCTCAGACCCAGGACCCCCCAGTGATGGAAGGCACAAGCCAGAGTCAAGCCATGACCCAAGGCGTGACGTTGCACTCCATAATGTTTTATGGAAACACGCTTATGAGTGTGAATATGATGTAACTGGAATATGCTTTATGCAAAAGGTCTCTTGTAAGGTATCATTGCAAAGCTTATGATCTACTGAGTGTGTTCATCCCATTTGTTTGCATGTATTATTTCTATGTCTGGAGTTAGGAGAATAAGATATAAACTTGTATTACCAATGTAAACATATTAAGTGGAAGCCATTAAGGGTGCTTCAGAATCAATGACCTGTAAATGGCTCTGTTTACTTGCAAACCTTCCTGGGTACATGCGGGCTAGCCCTGGAAGAATGGAGGCTGGAGTCTCACAGGACAGGTGAACATGTCACCTGATACTGGAATCCATGTTTAACCTGGTGCTTTTCCATTTAGAAGGAGGAGTCGGGACCCAAAGAGACAAAAGATTCCCGCCTTGGGCCAAAGCTATAAAAGGGGTGGAACAGAACAAAGGGGCTGCCAGTCATGAGAACACCCCTGCTTTCCACCTAAGATGTCCCCTGGAACTAACAAGGGCTGTACCAGGGAAAGGATTGTGACCAGACTAGGAAGGAGTCTAGTCTGTGAAAGAAGCTTATTGGAACATCTCCGAGGATGAGATTTTACCTGTAATCGGTTTCTTAATGTATTAGGCTTAGACTTGCATGTTTTTGCTTTGTTTTGCTTGGTGACTTACTTTTTTCTGTCTGTTATTACTTGGAACTATGTAAACCCTACTTTTTATACTTAATAAAATCACTTTTGTTTATTAGTAAATCCAGAGTAAGTGATTAATACCTGGGGGAGCAAACAGCTGTGCATATCTCTCTATCAGTGTTATAGAGGGCGGACAATTTATGAGTTTACCCTGTATAAGCTTTATACAGAGTAAAACGGATTTATTTGAGGTTTGGATCCCACTGGGAATTG